GAAGTGGAAAAAACCCATGACATTACCTGACAGCAGTGTCAGGCTGTTAGGGGCTGCCCCAAAAGGAGATGGAGCCAGCTGAGGTGGAGGCACCTGAATTTCACCCAGTTTCCGAGGTCCATTCCCACATGGGAGCTGACCTGTTTCCTCTACCTTATTTTTTTTGCCTTCTGGTTCCCTGAGGCCTCAAGCTTGGCTTCAACCAGACCCAGAAACCTCTTTCATATAGAGCCATCAGCACCTGCCCCCACTTCTGCTACCTAATGGGCAGAAACAGTGCACTATGCCACCAGTCACAAAGCTCCAGGCTCTCTTCAGGACATAAAAACCCCATGGAAAAAGCTGTTAAAGCATTTTGTTTCCCCAAAGTTAGCTTCATCTAGCCCAGCAAGTCTTGCAGGACCCCTGCAGCAGTCTGAGACCCAGTGAAGCCCTTGGGTTTGTTTTGGGGCAGATAACTCAATGCAGGATCCTGGCCAAATTCTTTTGGAGGCAGAGGTTGACACAATTTAACCACACTTTCTGCAGCTGAATCACAGCTCTGTTTAAAATCCTCTTCATTCAAGGCCAAGGTAGAGTTTATTAATTAGTTATATTAAATTTCCAGTAGGAAACCCTTATTCTTTTTGCATTTGGTTTCTACTTTGAAACAGGAAAGAATGTATACAAGGGAGTAAAATGAAAATAATTTCAGTTATAAGGTAACATCTGAGGTAACTTAATTTCAGCATCCTAAAGAACATAATCAAGAGTAATGGTATTCCTGTAGAACTTGAACCCTCCTAGAGAATCCCATAACAAAACTATCAATCTCCAATAATATTTTTAAACAATTCAACAGATTTATTAAAAACTGTAAACTTTTTACACAGTAGAAGCATTTCATAAGGATCAGTCTATAGAAGTGACACCATAGTAATAGCATTGTAATGTAGTACATACATCTAAATATTCTTCAGCAAAATTATTCATTCAGAACCATAGTGGCACTTTTGGATTGAAAAATTCCAGCATGAGGGAGGACAACGAGTCACTTTAGTGTTTCCCCAGACCAAACTAAAATGTCCATGACTGTGGATATTTTGCAAACAGACACAAACTAGAATTCAGCTAGTATGAGGCTGTGCACTTAAGCACGGGTGGCAAACTACTGTGCAACTGTTTGAGAGAGAATTGATTTTTCTCTGGTTGAAATGTGCAAAGATCCCATGGTTTATCCGAAGAAGTAAACCTAAAGATAACAGTTTGGTAACCCAGGGTGATGTTTACAACTGTACCGAATGTGACAGCTTTCAAAGTATTATGTATATTTCTAAGGCTGTACATGTACAGCTCTGACAGCATGTCAGTTACAATTCTTGTAAAAAAATGGATGTAATTTATTATGGTTCAAATATAGAATAAACTATATAAATGCTTCACCATAAAATACTAATTTCCTCATTGCTGAGGGGCTCATCTGCATTCTAAATAGCACTAAAGATGTTTTAATTGAATAGCTTTTACTTCCCTTTTACTGTCAGCTTCAAAATGACTGGCTAGGGTTAAAACAGATGCACAGAACTACAGGAAATCTCTGAACAATAGAGAGGAGCATTAGCCACAAACAGGACAACTACACTACGAGAAGTTAGGGGTGAGCTGGGTTTTCTTGTTCTGGGGGAGCAGCAGTGGAGGTTGCTCATGTGCGATTGATGGTACTTGTGAATAATACCAGTTGGCAGACATTAGTAACACTTTGCCTCACTTTTTGCTCAGTTGTTCACTTTTCTGCATTTGGCATGTTTTCATGTTTTTAATAGGAATTTTTCAGCCATGCATCTTTGACATGAAATAGTACGAAATTTGATGCCTCTCATTTTGAAGTAATTTCTAACTGGCTGTATATGACATTGGTACAAAACTTATCATATGGAATTATCGTCTTTGGGAGTAGCTTGCTTTGCAAGCTGCTTTTTAGCTCCTCATCCCATGCACAGCAGAGAAATTTGTATGAATATTTTTAGCTTAATTCTGATTTCGTCCTACTGTATAGACAGACAAACTTCACTTGATTAAGTACTGGATTAAACAGTGCTAGTATTCAAGATTATCTCTTTGGGGTTTTACCTTAACACAAATAGGGAAATTAACTGCTGCAAGACAGTACAAGAAAAAATGACCAGAAGAACCAAAAGAACTACTTGCTTTTGGTTTTTATTGAGTTAGCTATAATTTTTCACCTGTTCTTCTATAATATACAGGTATTATCTATAAAATAAAGTGAGAGACATGAGATTTAAATATTTGTGGTTCTTTTAAGCTGGCGAACTGGCTGCACCTGGACCCTTCAACTGAATGCTGAGAGATTTTCTAGTAAGCTATATTATTCTTAGTCTTCCTGGCATTCATATTTGATTGTACCCCTGAGTTTCCAAGTATTACAACCAAATACAGATGACACAGACTCAAGTTTGACTGCTGACATAATTAAACATCTTACCTTCAAATGCTTTAGAAGTAAGTGGATAGTAAAAACTTTCAACTTCGTAAGCAGAAATTGCACTGAGCTAGCACATGGTTCCACAAAATCCTGTATTCACATGCACCTTTGTAAGATCTCTGAACCAAGACCAAAGGTTTGATTCTGCAGAGAGCAAGCAGCACTCCACTATACAAAAGCTGGCAACCCAATGTCCTCAGTCCCAGTGCCACGGTACAGTGGTTGCTTTGGGTCTCTCACTACAGATACAGTTTGAACAGAGGGTTGGGAAGGGAGTTTGTAATTTGAAGAGTTGGGGTCAAGCAGAGGAGATGTTTCATAGACATTTAAATTTAACATTTCCTGCAGGTTGCAAGAAATTGGACTCAATGACCCAAGAGGTTCTCTCTGACCAGTTTTCCTAAAAAAGTTCCTGATCAAGAGAAAGGAGAAGAATGGGAGATTAAAAAAAGAAAGTTTATTCTCCTAGCACACCCACATCCCATTTTTTGCTTTAAAAATGGGTTAAACAGCCTCTCCCTTAAAGGCTGAAGAAAGAAGAACAGAAAATGAGTTATAC